AGTCCCCGTCGCCGGCGCCCCCCGCCAAGGCGCCGCCGCGGTCCAAAGCCCCCGCGCTGGAGCACGGCAACGTTGCCATCCGGCTGTCGTACATTGGCGAGGAGAGCGAGTCGATGGAGATGTCGGGGGGGGTGGGCGGGGCCCCGCCCGGGTTGGCGGTGAAGCTGCCGCGCGCCCCGCCGGCCTCGGTGGTTTCGGGGCTGCTCGTACGGGCCTTGGATGGGCTGGTGCACTGTGTGGAGAGTCGAAGCGAGGCGCGATGTGACGCGGCACGGCAGCTGCGCTTGGTTGCGACGATGATGTCTCTGGCGGGCGGCAGCGGCGGCGGTGGCGGCGGCGCAGTAGCGGTGCCGCCGCTGCTGCAGCTCATTCGCGCGCTTTGTGATTCTTTGGAGCAGCAGGAGGAGGAGCAGCGAGAGGTGACGGCGGCGACGCGCCACGGCGGCGGCGGGAGCGCCGCCGGCGGCCTGGGGCTGCACGGCGGCGGCGGCGGAGGTACGCAGACGTTGCACTTATCTGGGTTCCAACAGCAACAAAGCCATGCAGACTCCTCCAAAATGCGCGGCAAGCTGCACAGCGTACGGCACTCCCTGGCACCGTACAAGGTGCTCTTCCAGCTGCAATCGCTGTGCCAACAGGCTGCCGCCGCCGCCGGTGGCGGCGGTAGTCACGCTGCCGCCACGATAGCCGACGGCATCGGTCCCGACGGCGAGGCGGCGCTGGTGGGCCTGGCGGACGAGCTGGAGGACGTCAGTACGGTTGCCGTACGCGCCACCTTGATGCCGACGCTTCTGGCGCGCGGCGATCTTCACCAGGCTGTCGACACCGCCGGCGCGCTGGAGGACTTGTTCCGCCATCTGCCCGCCGCCGGGCAGGCGGCGTTGGCGGGAGTTCTGGCGGAGGCGGCGGCGCAGCCGTCGGCGCCGCTGGGTTTGGTCGTGGCGGTGGCGGCGGCCGCCGGTGCCATGACGACGGGTCAAGCAGGCCAACAGCCGCAGGAGCACGCCGCCGGGAAATCGGGCACATCAGGTCCCCGCCAGAAGAAGCAGCCGCAGCTACAGCCGCCGTCGACGTCGTCCCTGTCGCACGGTCACGGCACAGGTGCAGGATCGACGGGCGCCGCCGCCGCCGCCGCTGCCGCCGCCGCCGCGGCGTCGAACTTTCGGGTGGCGGCGCAGGCGGCGGCATTCGTCGGCACCCTGGAACACGCCTACTCCGTTGGCGGCGGCGGGATTCAGCCGCTGACGGAGGAGGCGACGAGCCTGATGGGCTCGCTGCCAGCGGCCATGATGGTGGGTCGCATGCGGGAGTTGGCAGCGCACCATAAAGCCCAGGCGGTTGGCGGCAAGTCCATGGTCGTACGTGCCGACGGCAGCGGTGCGTCCGCACATGGCGGAATGGCGCACGCGCCGGTGGGCCTCGTGGAAGCGGTCCTTGTGGGCCTTGCGGAGAATCTGCAGAGCTTCTTGACGGCGGCGGCGGAGCTGCTGCCGCCGTCGGACGCGGCTTCGGGCGACGATGGCGGCGTCGACGCCGCCGTCGGCCACGCTGGTCATGTTGACGAGCTGGTGGGCCTTGTGTGCCGTTGCACACAGCGCTTCCAGGAGCGGTTGCCTGTCGTACTTCAACACCTTCAGGCACACCTGCAGGCCTCCGGCGACGGCGACGCTGACGCTGACACAGCCGCCGCCGGCGGCGCCGGCTCGCACGGCGCGCATGATGGCGTGCACGCCGCCACTGACGCCGCCGCCGCCGGGGCGGCGGCGGTGCATCAAGGACAGGACCTGCTTGTCTCGACGGCCTGCGTGGCGGCGACGCGAGTCCTGGAGGCTTGTACGAACCAGCTCACTGGCCAGTCCCAGCAGCCACAGCCGCAGTCGCCGCCGCCGCCGCCGCCACCGCCACAAGGCGCCGACGCGACGCTAGGCGACCAGACGGCGGCGGCGCTACGGATCCTAGCGACCATCATAAAGTCCCCGCGGGCGCCGCTACATGCTCGGCTACAGGCCTGTAGCGCCGCAGCGCAGGCGCTCCACAAGCTTCTGCTAACGGAATGGAGTGCCGGCGGCACCGGCAGCTTGACGACAACGCCCTCTGGCGGCGTCGCCGCCGGCGCCACCGCCAGCGGCGGCAGCGGCGGCGGCGGCCCTGGCAGTACCAAGAGCGACAGCGACGCCGGCAGTATCAAGAGCGACGGCAGCGGCGCCGGTGGCGGCGGCAGCTCCTCCTCCGCCGCCTCCTCCGGCTCCGTCAGCCCTGCCGGCGGCGGCGGCGGCGGCGCCTCCGCCGCTGCAACAACCCACCCGCTTCTCCTCCACGACGCGACGGAGGCGGCGCAGGCGTGTCTAGATGCGCTGTTCGGGGTCCTTTCCGACCCTTCCGTACACGCCGCCGACCCCGATCTTTTTGAGGACGACGTGTGCGCGGGTCTGGCGGTGTCGCTGGCGGAGTTGAGACCGGTCAATCCCCTGGCGGCGGCGCTCGACGTCAAGCATAGCCTGGTGGTGGCGGCACGTGCGCTCAAGGCGCTGGTCAAAGCCGTACCCCACGGTCAGCTGACTTCGGAGCAAGAGACGCTGTTGCGTTGCTTTGTTAACGCGCACGATGACGGATTGCAGCACAGGTTAGTACGGGAGTACGGAGTACGGGAGGCAGTAGTACAGGGGTGTGGATACGCGGCAAAGTTACGGGGGCGAGGGATACGGGGAATGGTACGGCAAATACACACACATGCATCGGAGCATCCCATATATTACATATCTTCACTGGGCGGCTCTTTCCGCCCCATTCCCCGCCACCCCTTTGCACGTTGTATCTATTCTACACGTGTGGACACACGTGTGGACACACACACGTACGTGTGGACACACACACGTACAAACACACACAGCCGGCCTTCCCAGCCTCAACTCACTCCCCAGAAACCCAAGACAATCAAACCTCCAAAAAAACGAAAAACTCTTCCCCATTCCCCCCTCCCGCCCCGGCGCACACACATACATACACACACACACACACACACATACACACACACACACACTTCCTCCGTGGGTCTCATGTCCGCAGCCCGTTCAATTTGGACCTGCTGTTCGCTGAGGGCGCCGTGGCCGCCATGCTCCGCCGCCTGCACGACACCCCTGCGGACCAGCCGCTGGAGGAGGAGGCGCTGCAGTTCTTCGCCAGCCTAACTGACTGGGTGCCCTCCTGCCGACACCGGCTGAGGGACCTGGGGCTGCTGAAAAGGGTCATTCGAAGAATGGAGAGCACCAGCTGCGGTGGGAAAGGGGGAGGGGAGG